TTATATATATATATATATATATATATATATATTTACAAGTTAGTTAACTTGAAATTTGATAAGTATAGTACATGCAGAAAATAAAGCATAAAGAAATATGTTGCAATGTTATTATGAAAATTTTTTTAGAAAATAAAAAACAAACCATAAATTTTCATAAGGTAGAGCGCTTAATTAAAAAGATTGCCAAATCTTTTCAAATGTTACACTGAGAAAAAAGGAAAAACTACGGATACATTTTCTTCTCCCATAAAAACATGTGTGAAAGGCTCAATTTCAATCTCAACATTTTTGTTTTTTGACTTTCACTCCTAGTGTCCAGGTAACTGTAAACTCCAATGTGTATGCAAGAAACACTAGGCATGACTTTTTTGTGTTTCACAGTAATTGTTTGAAACTAATCATATCACAAATCATTTTTTTTTAAAGAATATACGACATGCTCTCTCATGTTTTGACAAATTACTGTATAATAATTGTCACACAGTGACATTGAAAGAGTCAAGTTTAAGCTTGGTTGACCATATATCCATGAATTCTCAATTTTCTACTAGAGTGAGAAAAATGTTCCAAATTTGAAAGAAATTGTAAAAATTTCCATTATATTTCTTATGCATTTTATAGCAGAAACCGCCAGCCTTTATTACTATTATTAGCATAGGTATAGCATCATCATTAAAGCTGGGCAATTAACTCAATTACCTATTAGCATCACATAAAATAATCAACCTAAATTTACAATTAAAATTTTTAATGTCATGAAAATAACCAACTAATAAATATTAGTTTCTGATTATTAGTATTACTACTTTTTATTATTTTAACTCCCTAAGTTTCATGTGAGAATAAATAAATAAATGCCCAGTTCTAACCATCATGTGATGACACTGGTGAAGTCCTCACAGCTACAACTTAGAATATGTCATAGAACATTTTGCCATTCTTTATAGAATATATATATATTAAAACATCCTAAAACATATATATCATTACTGAAATACAATTGGCACTAATACATCAAATTTCTCCAGTACTGCCTACACCTGCAATTATGGTATGTACACGTCTAATGTGCCCAAATTTTGGTTGCAAAAATAGTCCTCTTAGATTAATTTAAAATAAATTTTTATGTCACTATGACACTAACATCACTACTCAATAGGACACATTAGAGTATAGAATAAAAATGATATTTTGTAAGATTGTTAGATGAAAGTATTAAACTGTTGTTTTAAATTTAAACTTTTATAACTCCAGTGTATTGTTAATTTGAAGTTATAACTGATTTTTATGTATAGATGCTATAGTATACAATTACTGGTAAGTTGTATAACTTCGCCTTCAATTTTATATTTATATATATAAGCAATAGATAAGTGTAGTACAAGTCATCCTAGAATTTATGCTCTCACTTTATTACTACCACAACGTAGTACTACAGGTAGGCCAAATAGAGTATTAATATTACAGTACTGAAACTCTCGCACTAGCTTTTAGTAAAGTAAATTTAGGGTTAAGCACAGAAGACTAAATCCACTTTTATTTTAAGTTTTACAATTTTAATAGATTCAGTTTCAAAATATCAGTAATTCAGTGATATATATATTTTTTTCATAACATTTAGGTTGTGTATTAATAGTACGTACCAGTAAATACTGATTAATCGACTTTTCTTACATACATAAACCATAAATAAAACTTTGAAATGTTTCATATTACCAATACTAGGCCTAATAGTCATAATATAAATTTATAAATTATAGGCCTAACCTTGGCAAGACAATATTCATTCGATACTCGAAATGTAGTTCTGTACATAAACAATCTGGAAAAATCAACTATTATCTCTCTAACAAGCCCTGAAACTACTGTAATTTTTCAAAACACTTTTTAAAATCAATTTCGACCATTTTCTCTGTTTTATTACAGGTAAAATCCCCTAGGTTAATTTTTATTATCAAGTATGAAAAATTTTAACTGCAAAAAAACTTAGGAAAATTACAAAATAGCATATACAAAACAACATAATTAAAAATTGTTAATTTAAAAAGGAGAATAGGAATCGCCAAAAAGTGCTGGAACAAATTGAAGCAAAATACAAATATTATATTTTCAAGTTTACATCTAGAGAATCAAAAAATATATTCAAACTAGGCTGGAAATAATGTCTTCGTCATTTTCTCAAGCTACAAATCCTTATTTTGATTCCACTAAAATTCATAAGTACTGTACACATGGAGTCAAAATAAGGATTTGTAGCTTGAGAAAATAACGTATACACTATTTCCAGCCTTGTTTGTATTTTGATTCAACTTGTTCCATCACGTTTGGCGATTCCTATTCCCCCCTTTAAATTAACAATTTTTAATTATATTGTTTCTTGCCTTTTTTTATGCCCATTTATGGAGAATAAATTTTAAGCTTCCTGCGTGCATATGCATTCAATTCAATGTTACATGTTTTTCACAGTTTACTGCTGTATTGCCTTTTTGTTTTTCCACCAAATTACTGTTGCGTCAGCGAGGTCACGTGACTAGTTTCACGCCACTTCCTTCTAGAAATATCCTGTTCCTTCATGAATGCTCTAGCGTTTACTAGATATGTGTTAGTCTTGTTAAAGTTTCGTCGGAACAAATTTAACGAAAAATTAACGAAAGGAGACGTAACAAATTGGTGTCAGAGAGTGGGATAAAAAAATGGAAACGAGAAGCGGCAAATCAAACTACAGCCTAGCAGACTTGATGGCAGTAATACAAGAGCAGCAATAGAAACAAGAAGAACGAGAAAAGAAACAAGAAGAACGAGAAAAGAAACAAGAAGAAAGAGAAAAGAAACAAGAAGAGAGACAACAGCAGTTGCAAGAAAACCTGCAACAGTGGCAGCTCGAACAGCAAAATAAACAAGAGAAATTACAGCAGTTGTTGGAGGAAAAAAAAGAAACAAAAAGAACTAGAAAAGAAACAAGAAGAGAGAATACAACAGTTGTTGGAGGAAAAAGAAAATAAACAAGAAGAGAGACAACAGCAGTTGCAAGAAAACCTGCAACAATGGCAGCTCAAACAACAAAATAAACAAGAAGAGATATTACAGCAGTTGTTGGAGGAAAAATAAAAGAAACAAGAAGAGAGATTACAGCAGTGGCAACTAGAACAAGAAAGGAAACAGGAAGAAAGTCTCCAACAGTTGCAGGAAAGTCAACAACAGTGGCAAGAAGTACAAATGGAAAACATTAGTAAATTTAAAAGCGAATTAGATACGTTAAAGGACGATTTATTGTCTTTTACACAAGGAGGATACATTAATCACCGACTTAATCAGCCTCAAACAATGGCAAGCCCCTTCCAGAGCCCGCAGCTAAACCCTAATGCAGACATCTTCAGTCCTTTTAGAAGTCACATTCCAGATATGAATGTCAGTAATAGGAGTGATTCAGTAAGAAGGAAGCCACAGGAATACGATGGGAAAGCACCGTTGGAAGCATATAGAGCACAATTTGAGCTACTGGCAGAAATGAATAGATGGACGGAGGAGCTG